TCAGGTTCTCCAGTCTTTTGATCATCTTCATGATCTTCCTTTGGACGCTCTCCTGTCTGTATCTTTCTTGACTTGTGGGGACCAGAATGGGGCGGGGTGCTCCAGGTGCAGCCTGACAAACACTGAGTAAGTGGGATGATCATGTTTCCACCTCTGTTAGTAATGCCCCTGGAGATGGATACTTGTCCTTGTTAAAGTTCATACTGTTAATAAATTCCACTGCTTTCTCCACAAGTGGCTGAATATGAGCAGGTCTGAAGCAAGTATTTCAAGTTTCAAAGGGCACAGCTAATGACAAAGCCAAATCACATCGATGTAACCTGCAAAATAAAGAATGTAGAGCTATCTTTTCTTCTTACAGGCTCTGTTGGTGCATACAAAGTGATCAAGTTTGAAAGCACACCTTTAATTTACCCATTTTATTTAATAATTCTTATTCATTGTTGGATTTATGAAGCAGGGTGGTGACTCTGTTTCTATTCTCCCCAGTCATACAGCTATCCCTACCATTCTGTGAACAGACCACTATCAGGGTTTTAAATTTATGATTAGGATAGGAACTATAAAATTTTGAATGCCTGAGAAAGAATTGCTTCCAAAATTGCTAAACTTGCAACATGACCCATAAAAAATTCTGCCTGATGTTAAATACGTTATGTGATAATACTTCCATCTCTAATAATGTAACCAAGGTGCTCAGGAAATCTGATGGTTAAATTTTGAAGGGTAATGTTGTATTCCGTAGGGTTTACTGATCCTTCAGACTGTATCTTCTGAAAGTAGTTACCACGCTCAGATCAGTTCTGGCATTTTGATACGCAGTAAAAGCATTTATTCAGCTAGAGAGCTGTAAGTTGCGATTTTTTAAAGACTTCTGAGTTTTGTAGCACGTTTTAAGGACACCAAACAGCAATATATCTGAATATAAAACAAGTGCTTTATAAATTGCTTTATCACACTTCAAAGAAGCATTGCTAGCAGGATTGCCAAATTCAACTGCAAAAGTTGCCAATTTGGATCATGTGAAGGCAGGTGTGAGATTACAGCTGTAATAAAACTGAAATTGAATACTGGTAGCTGAATTTGTAGTAGGCAATTGATTTGATTTATATAACATAAGCCACATGAGGAGAGATATGTAGGTCAGCTGGAAACAGTGGTTAGAGGAGTTGTGGTAGGTCGCTGGGAATATTGAGTTAATAGCTGCTCAGCCTGGCAGAATTCTGGTGCAGTGTAACTACGTTTGTGTCAAGCTTGTTTGGGGAGACATCATTTGCAAGAAGGAAAAACTAGTCAGTTATAACCAATGCCACTTGTGCCATGAAAATCGTTGCTAAAATTAGCATAAGAACCTAGGCCATATGGAGTTTCCCAGGGCAAGAACTGGTACATTAGTCATGAGAACATTTTCAGCCTGCAAAATACTTGAGGTGTGTAAATACACAAATTAGTGATTAAATTCTTTCTGTGGTAATAGAACAATGTTTTACAAAATGCAAATGGTAAATGATCCAATTCAAAAAATCAGAGGAAGCACAATCAAATTAGTCTGCAGTGTTATTTCCAATCCAAACAGCCTCTTAGGTCACAGATTTCCACAAAAGAAAAAAAATCCAAAATAAAGCACACACCTCTTGATTAACAATATCCGGACTAACAAAAACCACAACAAAAAAACAAACAAACAAAAAAACAAACCAAAAACCCACCAAAAACCTACAAAAAAAACCCCTCCAGCAACACACAATAAAAAAAGCTCATCAAACAAATCCCCTACTTTTATGCTGAGAAAAGTATGTTGTCTTGTTTTTTTTTTTACAAGGAGTGAACTAATGATCTGGCAATTCTGACATTAGTTGGAGGTTTGATAAGAACAAGCACAAAATGAGAATTATGCTTTCAAAAAGGATAAAAGAAGATTAAGCATACAGAAATTACTTTGTCAGAGAGTTTCCATTTGCCATTCCCAGGAAAGCACATGAGCTTTTGTCCAAGTTATGCACTTCTGGAAACTGCAGCCAGTCATGGTCAGTATAAACACTGAGGGCTTATGAGCAAAAATTCCTAAAAGCTTTATTTTTCCACAATTAACTTGAACATCTTAGGCATACAAAGACTCCATTGTGTGGACCAATGGAAAATGCATGTTCTTTCGCTTTCTCTGCAGTCTGACCCGATCCTCCATGGCAGGAAAGAGAAGAGAATGAAACAGAATATGAAGAGTAGCACAATATTTCTGTTATTATTTCTTTCCACAGAAATGCAGGGAATATACGGACAGGGAGTAGAGAAGAACTAAAAATGTGTTTTGAAAAAAGTTCATTACTGTACAGCAAAAATTCTGTGAGGATGGTGGGTGACTAGTATAGATGATTTAGGAAGACATATTGGGAGAAAAAAGCAATGAGATAATGTAAAAGTTGTGCTTCTGATAAATGTGAATTTCTACAGTCTAGAGCCTCATGAATGAAGGAATAACCAGTGAATTAAAAGGAAGAAACTTGATGAAAATACATATATAAGAAAACAATGCAGTAGGAATCTGAATGAGCTTGTAGCAGCCAAAGTGAGAAATTATTTTTGTAGCAAAGCAAAACTAAGACTCTAAATAAGTCAGAGAAAGAAAGAATTACTATTCCTCCAAAAATGACTGTTCAATAGAATTTAATTTGTCATAATACTCGGCATAATATTTGGTGTCTTAAAAAATTTAGACTCATGGCTGTTACTTCCTAAGCACAGTGCCATGATGATAACCATTAGTCCAGCTTATAGCCTGACAATTCTGAAAAACAGAGCCAGACAAAAAAGAATGAGAACTTCAGGTGAAGAGAGGAAAGAAAAGTGAATTTTATAAAAGAATTTGGTTGCAATGTCACTAGGGGACATTATCATAATAAAAAGCATAAACTACCACTCTGGAACTGGGAAAGCAGGCATTTTCAGTAAGGAAAAAAAAACTGTATTTATTGAGGAAAGTGGGTTGTAGACATTATGGATGGGTTTTTTTTTTATTTAATCAAGTACACAGCACTGCTTCTAATGACACAATATTTCAGCTTTACTTGTCTTTCTGACATCTAATAAAAACTCACATTACTGTTACTGAAATAACCTTTATTGTTTCTTATTATGGTGCCTCCCTTACCTGTTGAATAGCTGCAGTTTAATGTGACAGAGATGTAAAGGGTAGGGCAAACATTAGTTTGCCACTATCTTTTATGTTTGACAGCAGCTGGCTCACCAGTCCCTGTATATGTTGTTTATGGCTTAGATGTGTGACTTTGAGGATGGAGAGGAATTAATTTCTTGTGGTGGGAGGGTGTAGCAGACATGGGAAGCAATCCTTACAATATTTTGATGGTCATGGGATGCAATTTTTTCCCAGGTTTATACAAAGTTTTATATCATGGTTCATTTGGACATGACTGGGACTTGTACTGCCAAACAGAAACTGATAGTAATAAAATGGTCCTTTCTGAAGATGTACAGCTGTGAGCTTTTAAAAAGTCTTGAGACTGCTAAAAGAAACCTCATGGCATTATAGTTCATATATTACGAACTCTTGCAGAAAAAACAAATTAAGATGGGGTGAGGAGTCAAGGTTGAGGAATGACTAAATTTCAAATTAAAAGACTTCATTCAAGAACTGAAACATAAATTGGAATAAGGTGAGGGCAAACTCAAGGCAGTGTTTATTCTAAGCATGTGCAAACCTCTTTTTGATGTTGTCTTCAAAATGATGCAGCAGCTAAATGTATTATACCCCAGGGAAGCATAAAACTTAGGGCCTGCTTCTCCTCACTACATAATAAGAATGGTGAAAAGCAGCCTTAAAGTAGGTATAAATTGCATTTAAGTCTTCTTTATGGCTCAGCAGTGGTAGAAAGGAGCCTCGATATAAATGAGAATCAGGTCCCCAGTATTTATTTAACCCTTGGGCTTTGTATATCATTTTATTTGCACCTTTAAGAGATTGGCAGAGGGATTTTTAATCAGGATTCAGTGTACAGAAAGCTAAATGTTTTCATTGCCTTACAAGTAACTTTAATCATACAGGCAGATCATTCTCTTTATTTCTCAAGAGGAAATGGTAGAATTTTCTGCCTTTGTATAAACCAAGCTAAATGTTTCTGACACCCTTAGTACAGTGTCAATTGGAAATTCACATTTCATGTAATAACAGACCATTTTAATTTCATGAGCTGAAGAATTGGTTTCCACGTGCAAATTGTACTGAAGAAAGCAATATTGTCAGAAGAACTGGCAGAGTGCTTCAAGAGATAAATCTATTGAATTAAATAAGGGGCTTTCATTACCTTTTACGTTGCATTTCCATATAACATAAGCATTAATTAAACTCTTCGTTGCTTTCTCCTATTCAGCAGAGCACTTGCTCAGTCTCACAAGAAATGCTGCCCAGGAAAACCTGTGGCTCCCAAATATAGTCATTAAAAAACACTTAAGCAGAAGGGAGGGACGGGGAGAAGGGAAGAATGTTTTGGTGCACTTAGGCAAGTGGGACCTGCCTACAGAAATGCATAATTTCTGTTTATCAGGTTTTGACAACAAATGCATGATTCCTGTTTTGCAGTTTTTGACAGCTCCAGTGACTTGTAATAGGTCATCTCACTAGGTATTTCTCCAGGCAGTTTGAATACAAACAGAAAGCAAGCAGCTGTTTTTCAAATTTAAGTACACTTCAGTAAATGTGGAAGGCTTCTTCAGTGTGGGAGAACACTTTTGGTGTGAGGCAGTTTTACTTCTTGAAGTATCAAAACAACTCTGCAATGTGTGTCTCCTCTCCCCTGCCAGGAATACCCAGCTATAGCAAAGTTGTTGATACAAATTCAAGATGTTTCCTCTCAAGCTCTTTAAGTCAAGCCTTAAAGAGTTCCCTGGGTAGCCCACCCAAACTGAAGAGCCATCACGTATTTTTGGTTCTGGCACGTTTCTGTCTGTATTCAGATATTTCTAATTCCTTCTTTTCTTGTGATTCCAGGGGAACATTTGAGAATTTGCCCTCAGGAATACACATGCTGCACCTCAGAAATGGAGGACAAGTTAAGCCAACAGAGCAAACTGGAGTTTGAAAACTTAGTGGAGGAAACAAGTCACTTTGTACGCACGACTTTTGTATCCCGGCACAAGAAGTTTGACGGTAGGCTGGATATAATTTACTTGTTTTCAAGGTTATGAGATATAAAAGCCATAATATCCATAATATCCATAATAAATTCCAATGTTCTTTTCTTTACAATTAGATATCACATTTGCAGTTGTCAGTTTGGCTAAGATAAGGGTTAATATACAGCTGGTATGCTTATCAGCCTTGTGAGTATTGCCTTTAATTACAATGACATCAAGAATCAGACTGTTAAGTGCCTGCAGTCTTGGCTAATGTTGAAAAAAGATATTAGATATGCATAGAGAGGTTTATAATTTTTGTCTCCTAGTTTCAAATGCAAAATTTAGGTTTGTAATTATGTTCACTGTTGCAAGATGAACTGTGGATCTCCCATGATTTTTGTTATTGCAGAGAAGTATTTGTGTAGACTGCCTTTTTATAGCCTTAAGGCTGTTTTTTTTTTCCTTCATGATTTTCTTGTAATGTACAGAGGCTCTAAGGGGGCTTCTGGCTTCCAAAACCTAAGGCCTCAAGTTGTGTATAAGAGAGATTATCATACAAACCACTTAAGCAGTATTGAACACATCACTTCTACCTAGAAAGAACAGAAAATAACGGTTTGAGGGGTTTATTTCCTTGTGATCAGTCTTTATGAGATCTTTCCAAGATCAAGGTTATGGTGTCACAATTTGCTAAGAGTTTGTCTTTGATAATGAACATTAAGCTATTTTTATGGTTGTGTCCATATTTTCACATGATGGTTTTATCTAAATAAGTATTTGTGTTGGAAGTGTCACCCTTTGCATTTCTGCATATGTGTAAGTTGAAAAGGGTCTGGAATTAAGAGGTGTACATCAGCATTGCAAAGAGGATTGCAGAGCTGCATGTAGGTGGAAAGCCTGCAAATAAGTGGGTAAAGCTGGGTAACCCCAGGTAATTGATCTTATGCACACATTTAGGAGAATGGTGGAAGTGTTCTCTCTGAATTTGGAAGCTTGCTTTAAAACTCTTTGGTCCCATTCAGAAAGAAGTGAAGATGGCTCTAACTCCTTAGGGTAATTCTGTATTATTATCCAATTAAATATTTTTTTTTTCTAATATTGATTCTCTCGATGTGACACAGAAGAAAAAAATGAATTATAAAGAAAAGGAATGGAAAAATTGTAGCATGAGGACAAGCTGGAGGAAAGTCCCTAGCAGCAGATCAGATGCTAATGTAATTTAGAGAGTGTCCTTGGAAGGTGGGGATGACTGTACACTGCTCAGAATTGTGATGACTTCCCTCTTTAATGTGAAAGTGTAATTTTTTATGTAGTGGCTTTTAAAAAATGTACTTGTCTTCAAAGGATTTAAAAAAAAAAGTCTAGAAGTTGTGCTGTATTACAAGATGAGTGTGCAAGTAGAGCAGACATTTCAAACCATCTATGGCATGCACAGGGCTTTTTTTTTCTAGATGGAAACCAGGGTGATCACTGGTGTTCAGTGGGAAATGCAGCACACTGAAAACTCTGGACTCATTGACCACAGAGCTCAGACAGCACTTTTATAATTCTTTGTCAACTTCAGTCCTTTCTGTATTGCATTGGACTTAAGGACTTGACAGCTTTTCCAGTAATGTGAAGTTCTGTGTCTTAATACAGATGGTAAGTTATGGCTGAAAGTTCCTGATTGGGTGTAAATACTCCACTCTGGGATCTGCTCCACAGAAACTTGGAATAAAAGACTTAAAGACTAAAAATTTCTTCTTACTATGGATGTTTTAAAGGGAATTTGCAATGTGATGTCTTATCAGAGTGCATTTGAACTTCACGTATGCTTTCAGGATTTCAATGCTATTCTAGAGCTATTCAAAATTTGTTCACTTGTATGGAAAAACTGCTTCATTCCAGAAGGGAAGACATTAATGGAAAAATATATTCACCTAATAGACTTCCAGTGTAAAATCAGCTAGATTTCTTGCAGTTTAAAATACAATGATGCTTTTCAATATAAAGCAATATTAAGATTGACAGCTAAGGTCTGTGTTTTAACTGTTCAAGTATAATCTTTTTTTTGTTTGTTTGTTTTTTAATTTGGTACTGTGATTGGGAAAAGGAATTCTCATACATGATTCTGCCACCTAATGCTAGTACACCACAAATAGCAGAACAGATACAGCCAATTGTGATGATTTTATGGAAGTTTTGCACAGTACCTGTGTTTTTCAAGAGCAGCACATATAAGCAATAAAAGAATATATGAATAGCTAAGTAATATTGAGATAGATATCAGTGTTGTTCCCTTGAGAAGTTAATTGCAACCATAGTTTCTGCCAAGCTCTTCTTCGTTCAGACATTCATTTAATTTTGAGAACTCTTGAAAGAACATCAAAGGGATATCTTGTAGATTTTACAGGGTTTTATTAATGCTGTACTAGACATGTTAGAGTAAGAGAGTTTTGCAACATAAGACTTTTTAGAGGTATGTAAACTCTTCTGAATTTTGATCTGACCTTCATAAGCCTTGTCTTTCTTAATGTGTTTTCTGCCGCACAGCCATACATTTAAGCATAAACAGAAGGATGCTATGATTTCCATTTTGAGAGGCAGTTTGAGATCTGTTTTCCTTTTCAGGATTTTTTCCCAGATTCCTATTCATGATCTAATCTAAAAGGAAACTCAATCTGTTGTAACTTGAACATTGTCTCTTTAGCCTCTGATAAGACAAACATTCTTACACAGAATCATAGAATCCAATGTTTGAGATGTGAGCTCATCCAATGGCTGAGATGTGATGGGGGAAGCCCTCCTGCTCCAAGCAGTCTCAACTACCACAGGTCACCCAGAATCATGTGCAGCTGCATTTTTAATATTTCATGGATAGAAACTGTACAGCATCTTTGAGCAACTTGTGCCAGTTTTGACCTTGTGACAAAACACTGTTTACTGACACAAATGCTTTATTGTGAGGTGACTTTACACCTCACAATAAAGTGTTTTCTTGTGTTTACATGGAATTTCTTGTTTTGTTTTGTTTTTCTTAGTTTGTACTCATTGCTGTCACTGGACTATATATCCCTCCACTAGATATTTGTGCACGTTGATGAGATGCCCTGTGACTTCTCTTCTCTGGGCTGAGAAGTCCCAGCTCTCTCTGCCTCTGCTTTCAGAATAGGTATTCCAGAACCCTCATCACCTTACTGCCCTTTGCTTGGATTGCACCACAGTGTCCATATCTCTCTCATACTGGGGAGTGCAAACCTGGACCTAACTCTCCATACATGGCCTTATCAATGCTGAGCTGAGATGAAGATTCCCTTCCCTCAGCCTGCTTGCAATGTTCCTGCATAATTTCTGTGTCAGTTTTGTATTTTGTTTCATCTGAAGTACGGTGCTTCCAAATCTCTGCAACAAATAAATTTCTGTAATATCTAAAAGCAATAGAAGCTAAAGACGAAATTTGTAACAGAGAACTTTAGAAATTACTAAGTGATTTGGAACCATCTATGATCAGAAAAATTATACCTTTCCCTTAACTGTCAATCAGTTCTTGCATCCTAAAGCCCTTTATAATCTTTTATTTCTTACTCATTTCTACTCCACAATTCTAAAGAGCTGTCACTGTATTAAGACTTTTGACTGATCCATTATTCTAGACTCATTTATTCCTCACTGTATATGAGGTTCAGAAGTGTCTCAGAACCAAAGATCTGACAATATAATTTTCCATTCAGTTTCTGTGTTCTAGACAAGTGCAATAGCATAAATCACGCCATAACATAATGCCTGCTGCCTGTTGTTTCTTGGCTGAGCCTTATGTGCAGATGTTTACATCAGTATTGCCACCATCTGCATATTTGTCATTGCACTGACATACTGGATGGTCATTTCAAGCAAAATCAGTATCTGGAATTTCACTGATAGGTGTGTGAGGATCCATAGAATCTTCTCCTTGCCAAATAAATGAAGCCTTGAAATTAGAAACGTTCTTATGAAACAAGTGCTCAATTGTCCTAGCAAAGAATGCAATACCTGTCTCAGGAATGGGGCACATATACCCTTCTGAACACTAGGAAAAGAAACAAAAAGCCTTTCCAGCAGATAGGAAACACACAGGAAGTGAAGAATCCCAGCAGATAGGAATTTTTATTACCTCAAGGCTTTGTGTAAGACTAAATGCAAAATAAGCAGACAAGTAATGATCAGCTGTTTCCTATTCCTAACAACAGACAAGTGATCATGCTCCACTTCTTGGACCTCCACTGTATACCTCAAAGCAGCTTAAAATATATTATGCTCCCAGTGTAGCTGTAATAGTATCATCTTATTATCACCAATTCCCTTGCATAGTGACATTGCTGAGCAGCTGTTTCACATACAAGCCAATTTCTTTTAAGTATTGCTCCATCAGCAACCAAAACCAGCCCAGCCGGAAGGTTTTGTCATGAATGTTAATGAGGAGACAAATAGCTGTTCAGTGACATTTTCTCACTAATCCTTTGAAAAAGTATAGGGAAAAATATATCAAAGAGTTTTAATTTGAGCTAAATAGATGTGAACCTGATAAAAGACACACTGTCTCCTCATCCTCATTAAAAATTACACTAGCAATCTTAGCAGCGGTGTTAAAAATGAAGGAATGTCTAAGAATAGCTACCATGAACTTGAATGGATATGGATAGCCTTCAGCAGAATGTGTGAGGCATGATGCCTTTTAAGGAAAATAAGCTGGATAGCCTAAGGACCAATCTTCACTGCATTGATCTATCATACAGTGTCATCATTCCCTGTGCTCCTTTTTTTTGTAGTCTAGGAGAACAGTGATCCATACCCATTAGTGCCGCTCATATATATCTGACAGTCATTACCAGCAGTACTGGTGTAAATTACAGGGCAGCAAAGAAAGTTTCACAGATGATCTCCCATAATAATACCTACAAGAATAGCTAACATCCCAGACACCCTGTATTCCCTTTTCTTGCACACTTTATGAAAGAACTTGGAGAAAAATAGCAGGTTTGAATCTTTCCTTGATACTAGAGCTGACAAAAATAC